CCTCACTCATTCCCTCCCTCCCTCCCTTTCTTTTTTTTTCTGTTGAGATTTATAATATGAACAAGCCTAGAACTGTTAAGTTTAGACATGACATGTAATGTTCCTGCACACCCCGAAGGAACTGTTAAACCAAGGAAAGCTATTTCTCACCCAGAACCACACTGTGTCCCTCCCGATGTCATATGAACTAGAAACAGGACTTCACCTCAGCACTATCAACTTTTGAGTCCCTGATTCCTTGTCATGGGGGCTGTTCTGTGCACTGTATGGAGTTTAAATGCATCCCTGACCCCTGACCCCTGATCCCAGCCTCTCTGCATACTACATGCCAGGGTCCCCCTGTCCCCTTTCCCCATTTACAGCAACAATGTACAGGGGCAAGGGGAACCACCCAGCTAGATCCAGGCCTCCTGGGGAGACATCTGGTCATGCCATCACCTTAAAAAACCCAAAACAAAACATCTGAAGGCATTATGTAACAGCATTGTCTATATATATAAAAGCCAAGTGACTGGAATTAAGGAATGACCGAAATGACCAAAACGACCAGTCGCTATGATGCACACTGCAGCCCCAATTGCCCGAAGCCCCTCCCCCTGGCCGCCCCGCCCTCGATTGGACCCCCTAATCGGGGGTGGGTCCAGCCGGCCAACCTCCTGAGTTCCCTACCCCTTGCTGGCCAGGCCCCATCAGCCCCCATTGGGGCGGGCCAGCTGGACCCCACTCGTGCACGGATCTGTGCCCTGGGCCTCTAGTCTCTACATAAAGTTTCTCGGTCAGAACTTTTAACAATAGTATTGGAATCTGGCCTTCATGGTTCATTTAGCTTGAAATAAGTATACTCAGTTATTCTCCACCTACCATATCAATGCTTCATGGTTTCAGAGCCTGTTACATTGTCAGAGGCTCTGCTTTTCAAAGGCAGAATGCAGTTTGCTGTTTTGAAGACGTTCCAAGTGTGTGGCCTTGGAAATGTTGAGTGGGGATATATAATGACCTCAGTAAGAAGAGGAGGGTTAGAATCCTGCTCTCAGAGATGAATGAAATAGATGTTTAAGAATCCTGCAGGCAACAACAATGTAACTATGTGAGGGGATGCATGCTAATCAGACTTATTGAATGAATATATACTCATGTCAATCATTATATTGTACACCTGAAACTCATATGTCAATAATCTATATATATAAAAGGCTAATATGCTAAGTATCCGACTGTTCGACCACTCAACCATTCAACCGGCAGCTACAGTGCACACTGACCACCAGGGGGCAGACTCTCAATGCACAGGCATGGAAACATGGAACAGACTGATGAATCTCAGAGGGAAGGGGGCAAGGGCAGGAAGAGATTAACCAAAGATCTCATATGCATACTAAAGGCCCAGTGTGTGCACGGTGGGGTTCCTCGGCCTGGCCTGAGCCCTCTCCTCTGGGACCCCTCAGGGGATGTTGGAGGCCTGGTGCAGGTTTCCGCCGGATCCCTGCAGGCCAGGCCGAGCGACCCCACCCATGCACGGATCCATGCACCGGGCCTCTAGTCTCTCAATAAAACGGAAAACGATTCCCTTTGCATGCAGGTGTCGGGACGCTGAGGAGTTTGTGCAGAGGCTGAGGGAGGGCGGGGGTAGTGGAGGGCACAGGGCGCAGCGGCCGCAGGTGTGGGACTGGGCACCTGTGCTGCTTGCCTGTCCATGGCCACGGAGCCTGGCACCGTGATGTGGGTGAGGGGCGAGGCCGGGCAGGAAAAGGGCTTCTGCTGTGAGCCCCTTCCCCAGCCGCTGGGAGGTTCCCGTGCAGAGGCCCCTGCGGCCACGTGTGGAACAGCCGGCGGGGCTCCACCAGCTGTGGCAACCCCGCCCCCCCCCCCCCCGG